AGTGCAGCCCTATCACCGTCAAGTACTGCCCTATGGGTTTCCTCCTAGCAGATCCTCGGTATATCCTGCGCAAGTCTGACTAACGGCCGCTGTCGCGAGCTTAACATCGACACAAAGTCACTGAATCAAAGTATGTAAAAATCGAAGTCCTACGCCTGTATGCCCCGGACGTGTGGCAGCAGACCTCCTCAAATGCTTCACACCAAACCTATGGATGATAGATGGTACGCTGAGTGGTAGTTTGTTGCTGTTGCTCACATTGCTGTAAACATCTACCACGCATTTGGGATGTAGTCACGGTCGTCATATAGCTACTGGTGAGTGGGTAAGAAGTCGTGCTACAGTCACAGAGCCCGTTACTTGCAAATTGTGTCAATCGTGTTCAATCGGGGAGAGATATAGCGAACGTCGAGGTTAACCTGCCGTATCGGCTCTTATCAGCGGTCGCCACACCTTGTCACCCACCCTCAATGTTATTGTCCCCATCTACACTTCCTGAAACACACTCCCCACCGCCCATTAGTCCTGTCGGTTGTTAACACTTCCTGCCGCCCACCTTTGCCGTTTAGAGTTTGCGATGAAGCGCGTCGTCGCGAAGTTCGAGCACGGCCTAATGTTAGGTTGGCCGGTACAAGATCAACGTGATCGTGCTTCAAATCTCTTCACTTTTTGCTCACGAAACTTCATCAGCGTAAGGGAAGAATAGTGCATAATGTAAGCACAGCCTAGTAAACACCGCTTGGGATTCAGCTGGATACAAAGTGTTGTGGAGATAGAAAAGAAAGGAGAAGGAAAGGTAGAACTTAGAAAAGAAAGGAGAAGGAAAGGTAGAACTTCTGACATAATGCCAGCAACGGTTAAAACCAGTCCAAGGGCAGTCAAACTGTCCCAAAATTGAAGGCAGTGGGCACGATAATATGAAGCTTTGATCAAAATGCTTTTTACTTTTTATCATTGAAATGATTAAAATGATAATATGAGCGAGCACAGTATGGTGAAACACATACTAAAAAAAGCATAAGTTTTCAATGACTGGAAGAGTTTCCCAGTAGGCGTTGTATCAGCAACCGCTGCGGTAGATACGGAAGCATGTATGCACTCAGATATACATGCAGCATCGCAGCCGCTTCATAGCCTCCCTTCGCCTCACATTGTACTTCGCAAATGAAGCGATACGAGCATCAGGATCGGTCGGACATTTGTGGGCGGGCGGGCGCGGTGGGCGTCCGGGTCGGTATGTTGCAGCTTGGTAGGGCTTATAAGGGTACCTTCCTTGAAGAAGGCGCTACGCAGCGTGTGCTCAAAGGCTCGGAATCCCGTCCTGCCAGGCGTATTTATCAAAGTCGTTTTAGACTAATCATGCCGACTCCCCCACAAGTCCTATCCGCAGCCTCAATGGCGTGGGGGTGAACGGTTTGGACTGTTCCAAACAGTACCAATGCGGAGGGTATCACGTCAGAGCCTGGCGCACGTTGAAAACAGTAGTAATTATGGGCCTCATTCCCCTGAACGAGACCACCGACAGGGCGACGTCGGCTGGGACCGCTCGGGCGAGGCTGCAAGAATCACAGGGCCAACGGAGATTTAAGTCGCCCAGGACTAGGATGACGATCTGTACTT